TATAAACACACAGTTTTAAATCTGTTACTATTATAAACACACAGTTTTAAATCTGTTACTATTATAAACACACAGTTTTAAATCTGTTACTATTATAAACACACAGTTTTAAATCTGTTACTAATATAAACACAGTTTTAAATCTGTAACTAATATAAACAGTTTGGGTTTATAGAGTCAAGTTTCACCTCAGCATCTTGTTTCGCCTGTTGTTGGTTTACGGCCGTGCTGACATCCCTGTTCCCCTGAAAACGAGGAAACGAGAAATAAATTAAGGTAATTTTAGTTTAGTTTCAGTTAGAAATACTGAATGAACCCTGAGAGCTGAATGTCAGCTGAAGAAAATAAACTAAAATTAAAACAATTTAAGGCTCAGATTATAAAAACAGGAGCTAAATGCTAAAATGAGCAAAACCCTAACAAAAAGCTAAGCTTAGCAGAATGTTGACCGAACTGCTAAAATAAGAACTGTAGATAAAAACACAAAAACAAAAACATAGCTTAAAGCTAAAATTAGCAAAGCTTTGGCCAAAAAGCTAAATTTAAATTAATTTTATCCAAAAGCTAATATTGGTTAGCATTAAGCACAAATTACCAAATCCCTGGCTAAAAGCTAACATTACTAAAAACCATAGCTAAAGGCTAACAATACTAAAACCATAGCTAAAGGCTAACAATACTAAAACCATAACTAAAAGCTAACATTACTAAAACCATAGCTAAAAGCTAACATTACTAAAACTATAGCTTAAAGCCAACATTACTAAACCATAGCTTAAAGCTAAAATTAACAAAGCTTTGGCCAAAAAGCTAAATTTAAATAAATTTTATCTAAAAGCTAATATTACTTAGCATTAAGCACAAATAACCAAATCCCTGGCTAAAAGCTAATTTTACTAAAACCATAGCTAAAAGCTCAATCTAGCAAAATAACAGCTAAAAGCAAGAATTTACCAAACTGCCACTAAAAGCACAAAGTATCAATAAATTTGGCAGAAAGCTAAATTCAGCATGACAATGGCCAAAATGCTAAAATTAACCAAACCTTAACTAGAAGCTATTATTAGCATAAAATTAGCAAAACAATAGCTAGAAGCAAAAATTAGCAAAACAGTGGCTAGAAGCTAAAACTACCTAAATGAAGCTGAAATTAACAAATTTGTCCCAAAAATTACAAATAGGCAAAACTAACTAAAAGCTTAAAAATAATAATAATAATAACAAAAAACCACAGCCGAAAAACTCTCCAGGTGTAACAAACCTGAGCCAGGAGGAGCAGAGCTTTGGAATAATCTCCAGAAAGTTCACTTTTCAGCTTCGGACCCAACTCCTTCTTTGTTTCTACAGAAAACAACAACAACAACAAACAACATGTGAAACTGAAGTTATTTACAAACAAAAAATCTACAGCTGAGAGGAAGCGGCTGGATAAGCTCGTCAAGAAGACCAGCTTTGTGCTGGGACGGCCCCTCGACCCAGTGCAGGTGGTGGGAGAGAAGAACTCTGACTAAAATAACATCGATGACAGAACGTCTCCCATGGATCTGTAGCTGATCTGCAGAGCTGCTTCAGAGACAGACTGCTGCTGCATCCGAGGTGCACAAAGGAGCGTTACCGCAGATCCTTCCTCCCATCAGCTGTTAGACTCTAGAACCATCACTGCTCCCAACAATCATGATAAGCATCCATGTTTGTGTTTGCACATCAAACAACTATCTCTCAATCATTACACAAATAACCAGTGGTAATTGTACATATTTTTCCTGTACTGGACTTAATGACTGAGTTTGACTCGTTTTGACACCCCTCGGATCATGAGTCTGTCATGACTCTTTTTCCTATAATTTATATTTTTCTGCACAGGATCTTGCCTTATTTTTCATTGTTATCCAATTTCATCTTGATAGCCCGTTACAGTAATAATTACTCTTACTTTTATTTTGATCTATGTTTATTTTTTATTTTGATCTATGTTTATTTTTATTGTTACTATATTTAATTCTATTAAAGGGATCTATGATTAGTTGTAACATTAGACTTTATTTGATAAACATTTTTAACTGTAAAATAAAGATTGTAAAATACTGTAGGATGTTTAGTTTTGTACATTTTTAAAACTATATTTTAACACGGACTGAGCCATTTTATTTACACACAAAGCATTCTGGGTAAATGAT